CTCCCCTTCCCACACTTTCCCTTCCCTCTCCTCTTCTTTTCTTTCATCTCACTGTGTAGCTCTGACTGTCTTGCCACTTACTATGTAGATCAGGCTGGTCTTCAACTTAAAGAGATCCATATGCTATGATTAAAAGACATTACCCCTCCCACTCCCATCAGCTTTCTTTTTGGTTTTCTGAGAAAATTTCTCACTATATAATCTAGGCAGTTTTCAAATTCTTTATATGGTTCAGGATGACCTCAGTTTTTCTGTCTCCATATTCTGGGATCATAGGCATGTGCTACCACTACTGGCTGTAGGAGTTATTTTAACATGTAAGGTAATTTGCAGGCATTTATACTTCTTATACCATCATTGTTGACATTTTGATATCTTTAATATATAATACTAAAGGTAATTTTATAGGATTCAGGTTTTCAGATGTAACAAACAGGCAAAATACAGATGGATCAGAATTTTCACAAAGAGGGTACTCTATAAATAATTTTAACTGGTACATATTTCATGATTTATAAACTTTTCCATGATGCAGTATATACACAATATGCACTTGGATGTACCTGTTTCTATTCCTACTCATCTGTTATTCTTTAGTAGTATAGTTCATGATAAGTCTATCTTTTCTTGTTGCGTCCGCTAAAATGTTGGGGTTCTGGTTCCTTCTCCTTTTCTTTGACATCCCATGTAGAAGCTATCAGTCGTCCCATTGGCAGTTCTTAGAAAATACCTGTAGCGATCTCTTCTCAATTTGAAGCTACTAATTTGTCCACACCGCTGTGATCTTGAAGTCATTGTTAGAGCCTCCTAGCTGTCTCTGCTTGGATTGTTTCCTCCTAAGTCTATTTTAAGCACAGAAGTTGGTGAGATCTTAAAAAATGGAACTGGTCATGATGTCAGTCATTTGCTGACTTTGCTTTCTAGTCATAGAAAATGACTCTCCATCTATCTGTCTGTCCTTCTAGGTGCTCATTACTGTTCTCCTTTCTCTGCTACTTCCAGTCATGCTGGCAGTTTTCTGTTCCCCAGTCATGGTGCTTAGCACTTTGGCTTAGGGGTTTTCAACTTTATGCTGGAACCGTTCATTCTGATTGTCATGGACGTCCTAAGCTTTTGCTTTCTTCCTTACCTGCATGGTCATTATATTCTGGCTCTAAGCTGTTAGATGTACATTAAAAACCCTCCAGCAGAGACCCATTTTAGAGGTCTGATTACTCATTTTATTTTGGACCCTTCCATCTTTTGTGTTCTACAAGTAATTGCTCTATCTTTTGTCAGCTGAGTAGATCATTAGAAATGGTTTGTCCAGCATTTGAAGTGACTTCATCAGTCTTTTTGCCAGAAATAAAAGTCTGATGTATTTTTATTAAAGAATTAAGCTAAATCATAGATTTCTCTGAATAATTTGTTTTTTCTTTCTTACATCAAAGGATGGGAGACTACAGACAGGGGACCACATCTTGAAGATTGGTGGTACAAATGTGCAAGGGATGACCAGTGAACAAGTTGCTCAGGTGCTAAGGAACTGTGGGAATTCAGTGAGGATGCTGGTGGCTAGAGACCCTGTTGGTCAAATTGCAGTGACACCTCCTACACCTGTATCCTTACCTGTTGCCCTGCCTGCTATAGCCAACAGGACCCTTGGTTCTGTGAGTATAAAAAACCATTCTTATATCAAATGCTGCCTGTGATTCAATGCAAGATGAGAAATTCTTTCAGCTGGGTGACCACAATAGTATAAGTCACAATTCAGTGCTCATATTTGAAGCAGGGAGAACTCAGGATGAATATTAGACATGCCTGTTTCTATCTCTTCCTCTTTTTGGTGTGATGTGTACATGCATATATGCATGTGTGCAAGTACATGCACACATATTTGCCTTGAAGCCAGAAATCATTGAATTCCACTATTACTCTCCCTTATTTTTGAGACAGAGTCTTCTCACAAAGTTGAACTTGTCGTTTCAACCAAACTGGATGGCCAGCAAGCCCCTGGATCCTGTCTGTCTCCCCAGTATTGAGAATACTGGTATATGCAATCCTGCCTGACTTTTAACATCTGCTGCTAGGATTCTGAACTTTGTTCCTCACACTTGTACAGCAAGTTCCTTGCTGACTGAACTGTCCCCCAGCTCTTCCTCCCCATAAATAAGAGCATGAAGAGGTGGGAAGAGAAGGAGACTCTGTTAGAACAAGCGGAAGGCTAGCATTTATCTTCAGAGACATCATTTCCTGGGAACTAAATGAACAGGAGTTTTGTTTTTTGATTTTTGTTTTTGTTTTCAAGACAGGGTTTCTTTGTATAACAGTCTTGGCTGTCCTGGAACTTACTTTTTAGATCAGGCTGGCCTCGAACTCACTGAGATCTGCCTGCCTCTGCCCCCCAAGTGCTGTGATTAAAGGTGTGTGCCACCACATCCCAGCTAACAGGAGTTTTGTATCTATGATGTTAGTACTTTGTTTAGTTTCTCCAGGTTGCAGTGTTAATTGATTTCAGTTCCCATCTTTACTCATGCTCACTGAAGTCTTTTTATCCAGTACACAAGGCTCTCTGATGTGTGTGGTTAGTTTCTGATGCTAATGTTTGGGCTTGAAAACAGTGCTAGTGTTTAGATACCTTATTGTATCTTATTGTCTAAATAATAAGTATTAAAGTTTTAGAGCCAGTTTTTAAAATGTATATATAATAACTAGCTTTCTCTTGGCATCTAAATTTTTTTGTTAGGCTTGTGGTTCTTTCCGAAAATACAGCCTGAGGTTTTTCTAAATGTCTGTATTAATTTTCTGTTGTTATAAGTTGTTACATATTTAGTAGCTGAGGACAATACCTTTAGTTAGTTTCAGTTCTATAGGTCAGAATCAGAGTGGGCTTGGCTGGGTTTTCTGCCTAGATTCTTAGAAGGGTAAGTGGAGATATTGGTTTATCTGAGCTCCCTTCTTGATATCCTGGGCTGATGAACTCATTCAGGTTGGTGGAGGAATGCAATTCTTGGCTGTAAGACGGAGGGTTTTTTCTTTGTTGCCCTCCAGCCAGAACATCTTTCAGGCCCTTATGGTCCTCTTATTCCCATCTTTCTTGTATGACCCTTCCACCTTCAAACATCAAGCTGATCTTGTATGTTTCAAATCTTTTTCTTTGCCCTCTCTTACCAGCAGGAGAAAACTCTGCTTATAAGGGGCTTCTTTGATTAGATTAGGCCCACTTGAGTAATCTCCCTGCACAGGGACAGGTTCAAGCAAGGATGGGAAATCATGGGGACCCTCTTAAAATTCAGTTGGTCTCAGAAAAAACTGGGTACACAGATTGATTATGTATACATTTATACAACTTAAAATGTAACAATGGGTGCTTTATTTCCCTGCAGGACTGTTCTCTTTTTGAAACTTACAATGTTGAGCTTGTTAAAAAAGATGGACAGAGTCTTGGTATTAGAATTGTTGGCTATGTTGGAGCAGCTCATCCAGGTAAAGGAATCATTCCTACTTCATATTTTGGATAATTGTAAAGGATGTTAAGATGTCTAGATAATAAAATTAAGTACCCACAGAATTTAATTTAAAATTCAAACAATAAAACTATGAATCTATGATAGCAAGCACTTTCTTTTCAGTCATTAGAGTCACATTTTGCCTCAATAGTTTAACAGCTGGCTTTATAGTTAGTAACAAAGGAATTTAATGTATAGTTAATTTTTTTAACATTGGAACTTCACTTTTCTCTAGTTCTGTTTTGAATATTATGTGACTGTTAAGATATACAGTATTGTGTCTGGGATAAAGTAAATTGACCACTGTATATGTTGTATATTGTGAATACTCAAAATATATTTGTGTTTAATCATGAAAAAAATAAGATAGAAAAGTATTTCATTAGAACTATTTTTTTCTTTCATATAAGGGGAGTGCATTGCAAGAATATATAATTCAATAACTGGCTAATTTTTTCCCCAAATGTAACCTGAAAGTTAGCAGTAGCTTTCACTGTTAGTATTCCCTTGGTTATTGAAGAATTACTAGTTGAGTAAAAATAAACCTTTAAAAATATTTGGCAATTACATGAGAATTTAGCTATGAAGTATTTTAGTTTTTCTGAAAAATAGCAAGTAGAAAGTTATTTCCCTAAAAAAATTGTCACCAGGCATGGTTGCAGGTGGAGAGATTAAGAGTGCTAATGTATTCACAGGCCTGAATGAAATGCATGTCAGACCACTTTGTGCTGTTTCAGCCTAATGAAATATCTAATTTCAAAACTTCTGATTCTTCTACATGTCACACTTTTTAGGTTCAGAATTTAAATAAGTCCTTTATAAGCTAAGTATGTATTTAAAAATTAATGTTGCAGAAAACATACTGAATTGTTATCACTGTTTTTTATCTTGTTAAAGTTGAGTGGTGGCTGAGTTCCTAAACTTATTCCTCAGTGTCTAAGGAAAACTTAATGAATGAGAGAGAATTTGATATTTGTGTTATTGAGTACAGAGAAGAATCTTTTTACTTATTTACTCTCAAAACCTGTGTGGGTTTGGGTGGTTTTAAGAGGATGAGAAAGTTGAAAAAAAAAAATGAGACATTTGAAATGTCAACAGCTTTAAAAAAAAACACTTTATTCCATTTATTTTTGGTCTTTGATTTTTGTGCTGGGGTTTGAACAGGCGTGGTGTCAACCCCAGGCATGGTGGCATTCTTCTATAATCTTAGTCACTTCAGCAGCTGAATAGGAAGGGTCGCTTGAGCTCACAAGTTTAAGGCCAGCTTGGGCAACACAGAAAAATTTAATCTTAGAAACCAAAACAAACCAAAGAGTCTTTTCAGGGAATGTAATTAAAGTGTAAAACCCTTTAAATGTTTAAAGATAACTGGAAATACATGTTTTAGTAAAGAGGCAAGCACTGTTCTAGCAAGGCAGATGCAAACTGAAGTTGAGAGGAGACTTGAGACGGAAGCATTTGGCAATGAGGAAGGAGGATTAGATAAGGAAGAAGCAAACCTGTAGAGTCAGGAAAGCTCTTGGTACTTGGTGCAATGTTAGTCTGGGTGTCATGCCTTGTAGAAGGAATATGTGGAAGATGATATTGAAATATATGGCTAACTGATAAAGCCAGCCTCTAATCAGCACCCAGGCTATGCAAAAAAAAAAAAAAATAAATAATAAATAAAAAGAATCCACATTAGTAAGGGCTTACGAAAAATTCTTGTCTATCTGAGGGTTAGACTTTTTCTGTCTGAGGGGGGAAAAATAAGCAAACTCACACTTTCTGATGGTGACTTTCTCTTTTACTTCATTTTGAAAAAATCCTCTGAACATCTCTCTTGTTCATCTTCCATAGCTCTCCACAGCAGCCTGATTAGCTCTACATCCCTCCTTATTGCTCTACGCAGAAGCTTCTTTCTAACTCTGCACAGCCTGCACATCTCTCCACCCCTTTTCTCCCATCACCTTCTTCATAGCTCCACACAGCCTCCTATCCTCAGCCAAACTATGGACAATCATATGTTACATTTTCAGGGCCTGACCCATTCTCAAAAAGCAAGATAAGTCACACAAGTTTCTCTTAGGCTTGGGATGCCACATTGACCAGCTAGTGAGTAATGCTTTGCCATGCACATAGCCTAAATAGTTCGGGTTCTCAGACAGAAAGTAAACTATTGACTGAAACTTGAGCCCATAACATGAACTGAGGCTGGGACTATGTGCAAAAAGTCAGTTGCTGAGAAAGTTATGTCTACTAATGTTGCTTCTAGCCTGACCTTGAATCAGCAATAAACAACACTTGGGAATTTGTCCATGTGTATTTGTCTCTAGGAGCAACCAGATTGTTTTGACTATGTTCTGAAGTCTAAAATTATTTGTCTTTGTGACTGAGAAAACTATTACTTTTCTGTGTCAGTCTGAATAATGAAAAATACCCTAGTGTTATATCTATTCATCATCATTACACAAATTAAGTAGAAATCATCTTCCTGACCATCCACAGCTATATGAGTGCACAACAGCTGGAATATTTTCCCAAGATAAACATACAAGCAATAGCAGTACACCCATAGCAGTTCTTAGGGAAAAAATGAAGTGGCACATGAGAGAAATTACCGACAGTAGCAACTGGTTTCTACAGCCAGTGCCCCATGGACTTTTCCTTGTGTGGCTCCCCAACAGAGAGTCGTTTGTCTGGTGGGTCGACCTGCTGAATGCTAGTTGTTATGTGCTGTATACTCCCATGGCCATCTGCAGAAATATAAATTATTTTTCCTGATATTGAATATCTGGGATATGATTCAGTAAAGTTTTTATATATATAATTATGCTAGCAGTGGGAGCTTAGTAAAACCATTAAGAGATACAGTTTTATACTTAAACCATTTTCCTTGTAGTTCTTTGTCTTGGGAATGTTACTTTTTATATGTTTATAATTTTTATAGCTGTTTGTTGTTAAATATTTAATTTTATAGTATAAGGATTATTTTATGCTGCTGAGCTCATTCTATTTTTTAAAATTATTATTCTATGTGTCTAGGGATGTGTGTGCCTGTCCTGGGGTTCCTGTAAAGGTCACAGGATCACTTTGTGAAGCTGATTATTTTCACCTTTATGTGTGCTCCTAGGATTGAACTCAGGGTGCCAGGCCATCTTTCTGGCCCCATTCTAGCTTTTTTAAAGGTTTTCTTTGTATCTGGATGATACAAATCAGCACTCAACTAAATATAGCAGGGATACATGTGACTCTTGTCGTGATGCTAGTGAAAAATGACGAGAGCTTGTGCTGAGTTAGCAGTTCAAGTAGAGATAGATCAGGGTTTGTCCTAGCACCCCAGAATCCCTGCTTAGAGAGAAATGCATTCATCAAGGTTCCATTACTGATTATTTCTCCAGAAGGGTAGTCATCAGTCAAATCATTTTGAATTCAGGTCACTTGTGATGGTGACAGTTTGAAATAATCCATCAATTTCCCTGCATGTGTTCAAAATAGTATTTATGAAGTCTCTAGTCAGCCTCTTTAGCTAATTAACCTCTTGATAAGAATTTTGCAATCAGGTCCTAATTTTAGCTTTCTTCCTTTTTTTCTGTATGTCTGTGCACGTTCAGGGGAAGCTTCAGGGATTTATGTGAAAAGTATAATACCAGGAAGTGCTGCGTACCACAATGGCCAAATTCAAGTGAATGACAAAATAGTGGCTGTAAGTAATGACTTTCTCTTGTACATTTGAATTAAGATGGAGGGAGGGTGGTTGGTCTTTCTATCATATGCAAGAGAAGACGATGGCTTAGTTTAATTTTGTAATTTTAGTTTTATTTTAATTTTAAGGTTTGTTGTTTTTTGGCACAGGATCTCACTATATAGCCTTGACTGGCCTAGAGCTCAGTTTGTAGACCTGGCTGTCCTTGAATTTAGAGATCCACCTGCCTCTCAAGTGCTGGGATTAAACACTTGCTCCACCATGCCCAGCTCATAAGGTATTAAAAAATTAGCTTTACTATTGCAGTGAAATCATATTTGATTCAGACTCTTATACGATTTTAGGCTCTAAATATGATTTATTTCTGTCAAAAAGGAAACATTCTACTAAATATATTGGTGGGGAAAATTACACACTTAAATAAATGTATGCATAGAAAGTATCTGAAAGATGTTTCCATATTCTCTATATAGTACTCTTTAAGAGTCTGTATGTGTCGTTGGGTACATAGAACTCATGGGTAGAGACATGTGAATCTCTGAGTTCAAGGCCAGCCTGTTCTACAGAGCAAGTTCCAGGAAAGGCTCCAAAGCTACAGAGAAACCCTGTCTTGAAAAACAAAACAAAGCAAAACCCCAAAAAACAAACAAACATATGTGTGTGTGTGTTGGAATTTATTTTCTTATTTGCATGTAAATTTGTCAACAAAACTAATTTTATATTTTTATTCAAAAATACTTTCTGATACTGCATAAAGTATTTGGGAAGAAAAACTAGTTACCCCATTTTATTCAGCAATGCCAAAGTTAAAAATGGGAATAGTTGATAGGCATGATGACTCAGACACCTCTAACCAGTGCTCAAGAGGCTGAGGCAAGAGAAATACTGAATCTGAGGCCAGCTTGGGCTATGTACTGAGTTGGTCTCTCTTTGCCACGTAGTGAGACCTTCTTTCAAAACACAAAACAAAAATGGTAATGATTTGCTTGAAACTCTGTTCTTTCTCTTGATGTCATAGGTGGACGGTGTGAATATTCAGGGTTTTGCCAACCAGGATGTTGTTGAAGTATTACGAAATGCAGGGCAGGTGGTGCACCTAACCCTAGTTCGCAGGAAAGCATCTTCATCTGATTCTCCGTTTGAACAGCCTTCAGACAGAGGTAATTCCTGCTCCCATCCTTCTCCTCTCCGTGGAGCTGAGTTTGGAAGAATGGCAAAGGTATGGTCTGGAAGACTGAGTAGGAAATGTGTAATGGCGTGATGGGGAAATGAGTCAGCTGGTCTCCTTTGCAGTCTTTTTCCGGACCTGCTGTAGTGCACCAGCCCAAATGACAGGAGGCATGTACTGATTGCCTCAAAATGGAGACGGAAATCACTGTTTTGACCTAGGATCCTTCCAAGCCCCCACATGGCAGCTAAAAACTGTAACTCTACTCCCAAGGAATCTGATGCCCTCTTCTGTCCTTCCAGGTCCTCTGGAAGAGCAGCCAGTGCTCTAGACTACTAGGCATCTTTCCAGCTCCTCTGAATGGCCCTTAAAAAGAAACTATTATTAATATCAGTTTCACCAGGTTTGGTGGAGATGTATATCTTTAATCCCAATACTGAGGAGAGAAATAGGCAAATCTCTGTGAGTTCAAGTCCACCCTGACCTTCCTGATGTACATAGTAAGTTCCAGACCAGTAAGGGTTAAATAGTGAGGACTTTTAAAATAAAATAACAAAAACAAAACAAAAAACCCTATTAAACAAAACAACAACAACCACCCCCAAGCAAATAAACTTAAGTTCCAAGGGATCAAAATGTTCTTTTCTGATCTCTCCAGGCACCATGCATGTACATGGTCAAAATAGTTATACACATAAAATAAAATAAATAAATCTAAAATGAGAAAAGTTATTATTATATTAATCGCTTTTCTCATTGCCATGACCAAATACTTACCAAGAAACATTTTAAGAAAGGAAGGAAGGATTAGTTCTGGCCTATAGTTCAAGAAACACTGTCTGGATCTGCAGGACCCTGAAACGTAATGATCCTACAACATCCCCTGGAGCGAGGCCCCCCAAGTCGGGACCCAAGGGCCACCACTGGGGTGGCTCGCGGCCTGGACGCCAGGGAGCCCTTGCACAAGCAGTTTCTTTCCGAGGAGAACATGGCCACCCACTTCTCTTGACTCAGCCTACATAATGACCACCCCTACTGCAGTCCCCCTGTGACTTTCCCCCAGGTCCTGCCACCACTCAGGAGCTCTTGCCCAGAGCTGCTTCTGTGGCGCTATCCTGGGAGCCTGATTCCTGAGGCCCTCAGGCTCCTGAGGCTGGGAGATACCCCCAGTCCCTTCTACCCTGCATCCCCTGCTGGGGACATCATGGAACTCTAAGTGCTGATGGCCAGTGTCCCTCCCCACCTTGTTCCCCGACAACAAAGACCAGCAACCCCCCACTTCCCCCCAGGGAAGAGGTCCTTCCCCTGTAACAGGATAGATGATACTGAACTCAGCGAAACCCTGAATGGGAGGGGCAGCAGCTTGGTAAGGGGAAAGTATCACCCTATTAGTGAATAAAGATTTCTGAGCAGTTAAAAAAAAAAAAAAAAGAGAGACACTGTCTGTCGTGGTGGGGAAGGTATGGTCACAGGAGTGAGGCACTAGCTAGTCACAGGACGTCTCTAGTAAGGAAACAGGGTGAAGGATGTCGGTATCCGACATACTTTCTCCTTTTGTTCAGTTCAGGATCTCATCAGGTGGAGTGAGGTCACCCTCAGTCACCCCAATCTAGATGAGCTGTCACAGGAATGACCAGAGATTCCTTTCTAATTGGTTCTAAATCCCATCAGTTCACACTGTAGGATTCACCTGAAACTTCATGTCATTAACTGTCCCTTCTTGTCAGCTGCCATTTTACTGTTTCTTTGAGTTCGACTCTGCAGATAGCTCAAGTGGGTCGAGCCCTGCAGTATTTCTCCTTCTCTACTGAGCTGACTTTACTTCACAGTATCATCCAGGCTCATCTAGACCCTAACAACTGGCTAGATTTCCTTTTTAAAGAATCAATAATATTTTAAATTTTAAATTTTAAAATAATTTTAAAGAATCAATGTTATTTTGCATATACACATTTTATTTATGTATTTATGCTAAGTGTTCACTGAAACTATTTCCTTATTTTGGTTATTATAAATAAATAATGCCTCAATTAATGATTGGCATTTCTTATCCTGATACTATGTATGCATTTCTTTATGACATCAGTTGATTAATGATCTAAAAAAATACTATGTGAGTGGCTTTAAAGTCTCATGTTACAGTGATAGGAGTTTAATTGGTTATATGTTTGAACTCTTTGTTGTTAAAACATTTCAAGCAAGCCAGGTGGAGGTGGTGCACATCTTTAATTCCAGCACTCTGTAGACAGAGGCTGGCAGATCTCTGTGAGTTCAAGGCCAGTCTGGTCTACAAGAGCTAGTTCCAGGACAGGCTCCAATGCTACAGAGAAACCCTGTCTCGAAAAAACAGAAACAAAAATTCAAAAACGAAAAAACCCCCAACACATATCAAGCATATAGAAAAACAGAACAGAACGAACACCCAGTTACTTTTCACTTTGATCTGACAGTCATCATCTCCCCATATTCCTTCTGAACCACTTTAGACTGAATGGTGTCAGCATCATGAAAATATGGATATTTTCTTAAACAGTCATACTATTATCACAACAAAGAGGGTACTACTAATATTAAATATCAGATACTTTGTGTATGTATGATTTCTCAGTTGGTAGTGCCAGGGAGATTGCTTTGTGTATAAGAAGGTTAGAATGCTTGCTTTGTAAGATGAAGACCTGAATTCAAATCTGTACAAAAGCTGAGCATGGCTGTCCATTGCTCCTGTAAACCCAGCACTATGAGGGCCGGAGTCAGGAGGAGCGCTGGGGTTTGCTGACTGCCAGCCTAGCTCCAGGCTCAAAGAGAGATCCCATCTCAAAAAAATAAGGTGGAGAGTGACGCGGACACTTGAAGGTCTCCTCAGGTCTCTGTGCATGCACGCCAGCAAACACATATGTGTGCACATCAAGAAAGAGAGAGACAGGCAACACATACACATTTCCCATTTACCCTAAAATGTCTTTTGTATTTTTTCTTCCTATATTTTCTTCCTGACTCCTCCCTTAAAATCCTTCCTAAATCATGCATTCCTTGTGTTGTGACTGTATGACTTCTGAATGTAGAGTCTCTCATCCCTGCTCTATGTTTTTTTTTTCTGAAGAGATTTATCTATTAGACACTGAAATGCCACAACCTGAATTTTGACTATTTCTTTTTGTAGCCTTGTACTTTTAATAAAAATTCTTTTACAAAGAGCTGGAGCCATGGCTCGGTAGTTCAGAACATTTGCTGTTCTTAGAGAGCCCAGATTTGGTTTGCAGCACCCTCATGAAGGCTTATAACCAACCGTTAATTCTGGTTCCCAGGGATCTGACATCCTCTTCTGTCCTCTGCAGTGAGCAGGCCCATGCTTAATGTATTTATGTGCACCCGAAAGCAAAACACTCATTGAAAAAATATATTAATATTTTAAAAATTCTTTTAAAATGATAAGGAATTACTATTAATAAAATGAAGCCCTCCAGCCAAGTGCATGCCTTTAATCCCAGCACTTGGGAGGCAGAGGCAGGCGGATCTCTGTGAGTTCAAGGTCAGCCTGGTCTACAAGACCTAGTTCCAGGACAGCTCCAAAGCTACAGAGAAACCCTATCCTGAAAAACCAGAAAGAAAAATCCTCCAAAGTGTCACTTGTGCTGTGTTTCTTCTGTTTAGGAGATACTTAAGTGACTTGCTGGTAACTTTGCTTTGTCTCATCTGAAGAAAAGGCAAGGAGCCATCTGCACCCAGGGAAGTTCTCCCCATCATGGTCTCTGAGGTTGCTGTTTTGGCTTTCCACATGTGTTTGATGGTTGGTCCAGCCTGTTTGCACATGTTGCTCAGTACCTGTCCACAACAGCAAGCACATACAGCTTTCTCATTGTTGTTGCTTTCTTTTTCTCCTTCCTTCCTTCCTTCCTTCCTTCCTTCCTTCCTTCCTTCCTTCCTTCCTTCCTTCCTTCCTTCCTTCCTTTCTTTTCCTTCTAAAGCTATATTGTAAGAAATCTATCCCACTTTTGTAATGGACTTAACCTTGCTTTTCACTTTCATTTTCTGTATTTCCTCATTCTTTGAATACTATCAAGCTATTGTTTAGAATTAATTACGTAACAGAAAATTTTAGTATTACAGGAATGACCTGCAGTGAGGGCCTGCAAAGGGTGAGTGGGAGTGAAATAAGCTCATCTGAATGTGCCGCCCCACTTCCCCCGCAGGACCAGTGATTCAAGCTAGCAATTCTTATTTTAGGAACTGGTGCAGAACTACCTAAAGTACCAGCCCTAACTGGATCCATGGAAACAGAAACTAATGTGGGTACAGAAGCAGAGGAAATTGGAGAAAGACTGGATAATCTAAAAAACAACATACAAGTCTTAGAAAAACCAGGTAGGCCAAAAGCCTTTTCTTTGGAGTACTTCAACTGTTTTGTTTATTAACCATTTCTTCTCGATAGTTAATATGGTGTGACATCTGCAGAAGCAGACTCAAACCTATGCAGTAAAGGCAGTAGTATTAGACCAAAGGCTTAGTAAATCTACAAATATCCTAATAAAAGGTAGGAATTAGAGGTCTATATAAAAGCGGTCTATCTGATGGAAGCTCATGCTGTAGAGACATCTTAGAGATTTAAGGTAGGACATTTTTCTAGGGATGTACCACTATGGTAAAATGCTAGCCTAGCATATATGAGGCCCTAGGTTAAATCTCTAGTACTACCGCGACGTTATACCCTCTACATTTTAATAAAATGCGGTGTTTTCACTATAATCTTAACATAATCTCAACACGTTTGGCAATAGATCACCAAGTGTATTTTTGTTTAATCTTTGTTTAATTGTGTTTTAAATGCATATTTATTAGTATACGATAACTACATAGCATTTTAATTACTATGTGTTCTTACTTATGTGTTAAAATTGTATTACATCTAAATATTGTAGCTTTCTGCTTATATGTAGAAATGTTTCCTCTTCATAAAAGTTAACATCAGTTTTTTGTAAGTTACATCAAATGACAATCTGTAATATATTTATTTTAACATTTTAGAATTGTTTCCAATTTTGACATGTCAGCTGTTATTGGGACTGCGTTCTGCAATCATACTGAGTGATATAGCTTAGTTCCTTCTACAGAGATACTCAAGGAAAGCTTTGCCAGCTAAAGGAAACTCCTTACAATATTCCATCCATGTTCCAGAGAATCTGACTTTTGGTGGTTTTGTTTTTGTTTTTGTTTTTTGTTTTTGTCTTTTTTATGTTAGGAAAGATAGCCAGAAGGAAAGTATAATACCTCACTCAAGATAAAGATTTAGAAGCTACCCTTTTGGATCCAACTGGAGTACAATTAATTGTTACTGTTTTGATTTAGTTGACCTCAGATGAATATCAAAGAACTAGGTGAAAATCAGATAAACTTGAAATTAGAAGTAGTTTTAGAAATGGTGTTTCATTGCTATTGTCATTATTTTGTTTGATTTTGAGAAAAGGTATTACTGTATAGCTCAGGCTAGCCTAGAACTTAACAGCGTTTCTGTCTCCACTCCCCTATGCTGTACCCATGCCTTTTTGTTGTTGTTCATTTAATATACATACATACATACATATATATATATATATACATTACATATATATATATATATATGTATAAAATTTTGAGATAGGGTCTCACTATGTAGTCCTTGCAACCTGGACTTTGCTGTGCAGGCCACAGGCTGGCTTTAACCTCACAGAGATCTGCCTTCTGCTGCCTTCCAAGTGTTGGGGTTAAAGGTTCACATTACCACACCCAGCATGTGCTCGGGTTTTAAAAATAAATTTCACTATATTTTTTCTTTCATGCACAGGTATAATTTCAGTTCGCAAGTATGCCTGCCTCTCCCGGCTGCTGTGTCCTTAGTCTCTGTCTCACGTGCAAAATGGTTGCCTAAGATAATCTTGTTACTCTCTTGTTTCATCCTCTTGTGCAGCTTTTTTGTTGTTATTGCTGCTGCTGCTGCTGCTGCAAGGAGATTAACCACCCTCCTCAGGCCATAGTCCTCTGAGCTGTGCTTTAAAATGCATAGCTGTCTGTGCTTTCATTCTTTACCTAAAAGGAAGGCCTTAAGGGAATATAATCATCAGCATCTTTTTTTTACTTGTGTGAACTTTCTGTCATCTGACTACCATGTTTGTAAGCTTAGAATTCCTTCAATACATTGTAGATTATGTTCAGATTCATTTAGCAGATATGAAACTGCACCTGGAAGACACTGAACAGGTAAATTGTTGAACCTTTTAAAGAATTTGGTAAAGGGGCTGGAAAGGTGGTTTAGTGCATAAAGGTACTGAAAACCCCAGGTCAGTTCCGATAACCCACGTAAGGTGGAAGGAGAAAGCCACCTCCACACAAGTTGTTCTCTGATGTCCACATCTGTGCTGTGGCTTGTAGACTCTTCCTTCTGCCCCCTACCCAATACTAGTAAATTAAGAAAGAAAGAAAGGAAGGAAGGAAGGAAGGAAGGAAGGAAGGAAGGAAGGAAGGAAGGAAGGGAGAGAAATGAAACTGTAAGAATTCAGAATTTCTTAAGGAAATGTTCACAGGAGTGCATGCCACCAAAATGATTTTGATACTTGTTTTAATAGGATTTTTGATTAGCTGTCCCTAAATGTAATCTAGCATATCAGTTAATATAGTTATTTCCTGGATGTTCTTTTGTAAATGGAGTAATTTAAGTTCTTTAGTGTTCATTAGTCTTAGTCTCTGATTCTGAAGTAAGTCTATTTAACTTAATGATTTGTCGTATGTAATTAAGCGTTCTGTGCAGCCAAAGAGCTGCTCTGGAGATGAAAAGAGCTGATGCTGCATGTTACATTTGACGGTAGGCAGATGGCTATGTCACTTGTGATAAGCGTTCTGTAACATGAAGAACTTAAAAAACGTGGAACCTTTTTACCCTCTGCTGTTAGTATGGATGTAAGTGCAGTGATAGTTTTAGTACTTTGACTTTTATCTGCCAGGCATTCTTCAGACGGCTAGCTACTCTGAGAGTTTGGGGAAGATTATACGGAGGGTAGGCCTGGCACTTCAAATATGTCTGTGCTTATAAAATGATCTCACTTGTGTGATAATGGCATCATTAAACCGAGAGCATTGAAAAGGTACAAATATCCTAATAATTAAGCAGCAGCATAAGACTGGTGTAAAATTAAAGTTTCTATCTGATGAAACTCAGGTTTTAGCCTTTCTGTCCATCCTGGCTTGCGGAGGCCTGGCTGGGTTGTGTCACTCTGCCGTACTGATTAGAGTGCTAGCTCTGTGTGCATTTACATTCCTAGTGGAGAGAGGGAATGGTACTGCTTTGAAAAGATTAGCATTTAAATCAAATCTGTGTAAGAGCTACATAAAACTAAGCCAGATATGTAGGAAACTACATAGAAACTATACATTCACTTATACTTCATCACTTCCTCTACCCTTTAAAATATTTCTGAACAAAAGTCCCTTCACAAGTTTGTCACAGGTGGCTTTACATTTTGTATTATTCTCCTAAGTCACTTTGATCTATATTACCAGGTAGATGTAAATTAATACGTTTTCCTTTTTACGCATTTCCCCTTTTTCTACTGAAGCTGAACTGTTATTAAAGAATTTGTTAGTTAATATGTTTGGCTTACAGCAGCTTCAATGCTCTTTTTCTTATAGATGTATATCCAGAGAAAGGCCCAGGCGCCACAGAAAATGAGCTGAAATCCAGATGGGAAAACCTACTGGGCCCAGATTATGAAGTAATGGTATGTTTCATTTCACGTTACACTCCTAACACTATAATTCAAAATGACATGAGAGAGTCAAAGAAGACACAGGCTGCTTCTATTATTTTCTTCCTGTCTTTCTTTCCTATTAGGGCAATCAATCAATTTTTAAAGCGTTTTAAGCTATAAGAACAATTAAGGACCGTACACAGACTTCAGTTACAATTAACAGACACTCAGATCATATTGAAGACATTTAGGTCAACAATAGGCAGAAGAACATTAGGAGGGTGAAAGCTTGCCTTTAAATTTATAACTCGAATCAGCTGCTTAAAATGGCTGGCATCTTTATGATTGCTTTTATGATCTGTTCGTTTTATTGTACACTGAAAGGGCTGTGGATATTAGTCCTATGTTTCACAAAGAATCTTACAGTTTTATGAGAAAAATGAAAGAATGATTATGAAATGTATTTAGAAGAACAGGAAGTAATTTAGGTGAGGTATGAGTTTATGGTGCCAGCAGCCATTAGGCTTCCCTTCACCAGTTATTAGATTTGGCCAGTAAAGGATTGGCTGCATTTCCCCAGTGAATCCACATGAAAGCAGAAGCTGCGAGAAAACTCTCATAGGTGGCCATCAAACATGGCAATAAAATTTCTGTTGTATTTCAAATTTTCTGTTTTGAGCAAAGTCTTGTTATGTAGTCCTGACACATTCTTATGTATATGGTCATTAATACTGGGTGGACACTTTGTGTTTTGGATGTCTGGCCACTGTCACCAGAGTTGCTTTAGTGTCATTAAGATTAGTTACATTATCATTTTCTGTTCACCGGGGCCTGCATGTTAGTTTGTAACTGCGGGGTCTCCAGTTCATAGAGCACTGTCACTAGACTGCTATCTAGAAAGTCACACATCCTTGTGTGTGTTCAGGGTGTATGTGGCTCACTAGTTATTTGATGGGATTTTTTTATTTTCACTTTTTTCAAGCAGGACTGTCCTTGAATTCACTACTTAGACCAGGCTGACCTTGACCCCTCAGAGATCTCCCTGCCTCAGCCTCTTAAGTGCTGGGATTAAGGTGTGTGCCACTATGCCCGGGCTACAGTACAGTTTTTTGTTTTTGTTTTTGTTTTTTGAGACAGGGTTTACTTGTGTAGCCCTGGCTGTTTGTAGATCAGGCTGGCCTTGAACTCAGGGATCTACCTGCCTTTGCCTCCTGAGTGCAGGAATAATTTTTTTAAAATACGTGCTGTGATTCTTCCTATGAGTATGGGTGTGCATGTGGAGGTCGGAGGACAGCTTTCAGGAGTGGTTTTCTTCCACTTTTGCATTTATTTTAAAGACCAAAGTTGGGTCATTAGGCTTGCGCAGCAAGAGTTTTACCGGCTGAGTCATTCTAAAAAAAATCTTTATTTTCTGTGTAAGTGCCTGACTGTGTATGTATGTGCACCACCTGTGTGCTTGTACCCTCAGAGGCCAGAAGATGGTGTCAGATCCCTGGGAGCTGTAGTTCCAGATGGTTGTGAGCCACTGTGGGGCTCTGGGAATCAAACCCAGGTCTTCTGGAAAAGCAGCCAGTGCTCTTTAACTGCTGAGTCATCTCTCCAGCCCCTGCTGAGCCATCTTGATGGTCCAACAGTAAATTTTTTACAGATCTAATACAATGAGGATTTTATTAAAATTTGGTGGCTCCTAGAATTTAAAGTTGGTATAGTTAGACCTTCTTATTTAACTCTATGTTGGTATAGTTAGATCTTCTTATTTGACTCTATGTGTAGACTCCACTTTGTCACTGTAGTTTAAACACGTTTGGGGGAAATTCTTATCAGAATTGATCAGGTACAAACTTTTATTTTCACATCATCGTTCTTAATATAGTGTGACATATTGATGTCGCATTTTCTTTGTATTAGGTATTGAAAGTGAATTAGAGCTGATGTCAGTATGTACACTTAGTACACCTTCATTAAAACTTGAGCAACTTCTTAATACCCAAAGTTGGATGTGTGTGCTGTTCAGATATTGGTTGAATTTTATTGGTAGACATTGG